TGAACCAATCAGCGCTCACACCCGAGAGCAACGACACAATCAGAACCAAGTATTTGTCAAGGTAAAAGCATTTTCTCACATATAACTGCCCCACCCGCAAAGCCCTTCTAACCTCTTTCTGTGTTCTGTGGTGCTACGGAACCATTCGACTCGCCCATCCCCACACTCCCGCGATACCGCGCCGAAATAGAACCGGTCGAGAACTGGTTCCCGGTAAAGAATCTGTAGAGATTCGGTACAGAAACGAACACGAAAAGAGTCTGCACCGATCCGGTGAGGAAGGCACATTATATTACATACATTTTATATGAACACACTCACGCTACCGAGCGGTAACCGATTGATTTGTTTAAAGCCGACGCTCGTGTCGGGCGCGGCACGGTTTATCGTGAGACATCTTTTCATTGTAATGCAAATTTCATTTGAGAGCAAAGTACGTTAAGATCCATTAATGTACAAAACAACAGTTTTCCGTTTAGGATCGCTTTGGAGAATTTTACTTTACATAAAATCTTTAGAAATCAAAAATTAAAAGGTTCTGCAAAAAACATCATTAGCCATAATAATGTTCCATAGAAGTTGTAAAAACTTATTCTTTAGATCTCTACATTTTTTTTTCACCGTCTGACTGAGGCTCGACAGCGGAGGGGATAAGAGAAAAAACACTTTTACTAAGCGAGCGCACAAAAAAATATGTTAGGCAAACTAATATATGAACCGCATAGACGCTTGTGATATCAAGTGATGTTTGTTACCTACCGTGACTCTATCCCCTACCCCATGGAGACCGTCATAATATTCCTTTCGTTGTTGGCAAAGCGAGACGGAGAAATCAGCAGTACTGGAATTTCATAAGAGAGTGTACGCGTGCTTGCAATTATTTTTTACTCGTTTGTTACTCTCGTTCTCGGAAATGGCTAATATTATGAGTATTAACGAAACATTGAAATTCCTTGACTAGCATTCAAGGAGAAAACGACCTGTGGAATTCGAAAAATAAACAAAGGCCACCACCTTCTTCTTTTCTATTTTTTTTTAATAATTATACTGCGATGCACCGCAAGTTGTAGTTAAAAGTACAAAATTAATAAATACTTGCGGTAACAAATAATCAAACATTTATTTTTTTAATGTTGTGTGCTTACAAGTTGAGTCTGTCACGAATGAACACAGACTGAATGACCTTCAGACGTCGTCAGACGTGTGGCTGGCTCGTGGTGATCCATCTGCGGATGCATCTGGCGACATCCGCGGACGCATCCGCTGACGTGTAAGGAGGTTACGTATTATCTGAAATACTTTACAGCGCTATATACTAGTAAAAACGCTGAAAGAATCACGTTTGTAGTATGTGGAGCGCTTTAATGAGGGTTTCCTGGACTGACTGGTCTACTCATCCGTCAAATTATCTATATCGTCATAGTCTATGGATCAATTTTAACCCCCGTTCGGTTAGTTCGCACCAAAACTTCTTACAAAAGACCTCACGTCACAGTGGCGCCAACTGGAGACGCAAATTTTTCTAAACACCCTCATTGTGTTGTATATAAAACGCCACCGTTACTGACTGACTGATCTATCAATCTATCAACGCAAGGCTCAAAACACTGAAGAGATTGCGCTCAAATTTGGCACACACATAGATATTATGATATAGGCCTTTGAAAGGATTTTTCAAAACTCACTCCCTGAAGGGGTAAAATGGGGGTTCAAGTTTGTATGAAACTAAGTTAATCCTCGTATTAATTAAGCAAATACAATTTAAGGGTTTTTCAAAAATTAACCCTTTAAGGAGTAAAAGGTTTAGTGGTTTTGGCACTTGGATAATGTGAAGAATTGTCCGTAATGAAGTTTTGTAGAGTTATTTTTTACTTACTAAGTTTGATATTCATTCACTTAAGACGAACAAAAGTAAGTTTGATTCGTAGGTCTCGAAGACGTACAGGGTGTATAGATCCCGTCGCGTAAAAAGGCCGCTGAGCGATAGAGAAGATGTGTTTGCGCAAGGTTACAGTCGCGGTCGAAAGTAATGGCTTTGTTCTTATTTAGGATAAACGTCAAGTTGAATTACTGAAGAGTAACAATAGTTGTGTGTATGTGACCGGGAAGAATTAATCTCGATAGGCGATAAATCGCCCAGTGCGCACGTATAAAGCCAGCGGGCATTTAACGTGGACCTTTACGTACGTCTGTTGATACTCTGTAGAACTCTAAAAAAGAAAATGTACCTATACTTGTTATTAAAAATTCTTAGCATAATATTCCTATATATATATATAATTACATTCAAGTTAAACTGCTTGACATTAATCTAGAATCAAATAAAGGCACAAATAAAATAAGTCAGCAATTGTGTAGTACAATAACGATTTGTTGCTGAAACAATGAAATTGTTTCGAAATTAATATCAGGTCGTCGACGCACAATTTTTTTGATGATTTAGATAGAGGCTCGTTTACAATAATTATAAAGAACATTTAGGGAAAGTTTTTTTTTCAAATGAACGAGAAGCGATTCAGTATTCGTAGTTTTTTTTTTCTTTTCTTGAAAGTAATGGTGTTAATATTCTTTACTTTTTGTATATGTTCGCCCTCGTACGCATGACAAATAGGTACACTATGATGTATATATTGTAATCCTGCAGGTAATCCAGGGACTCCGACTGAAAGTAGAGTACGTTGCATATGTGTTTTGATATGGTTCCGCACAATTTACCCTGTACATTCGTTCAAGTATAACTTAAATGTAATGAGACTACCGATGAAAGAGTGCTTACCTAAGCTAAGATTTACTTTCTTTTCCTATAAAAATTCATATTTTTTTTCTCTATTGTTCTTTGAGTTTTTTTGTGTTTGTTCTGAGAAAGGCCCGTTATTAAAAAAAGACTCAAAAACATGACATTGCCTGAAAACTAAGGCCACTTGTTAACGAGACGGTTTTCCACCGGCTCCAGGCAGGGTTTTAAACCGTGTCTAGAGAGAAAGTATAAAAACATTTTATAGGCTTTCACAGTATACTAATTTTTAATAAAACAAAACAGAAAGAAAAACACGATATAACAACGAAGAAAAATAAAAAACAAGAAAAGTAATTTAAAGTAGTGCTATGCAGGGCCTATGAGGAGCTCGATGATGCAAGTGGTTAGCGCGTTCGGATGCGATAGTTGAAGTTAAGAAACTTTCGCAGTGGTCGGTCATTGGATGGATGACCAAAAATTTACTATCTCGAGCCCCTCCGTGCTTCCGAAGGCACGTTAAGCCATTGGTTCCGACTGCATCTGCAGTCTTTAGCACCCACCAATCCACACTGGGCCCGCGTGTGGTTCATGGCCCAATCTCCCTATTCCATCCAAAGGGAAGACCTGTGCCCCAGCAGTGGGGACATTAATAGGCTAATGATGATGCAGGGCCAACAGATCGCTGTCACAGCTACTGTGGTAGTGCTTTCGCAATACCACAGCAGCGCTGGTTTTCAGCCAGCGCGGTCCAGTCTACATCCAGTCCGGTTACGTATGAGACGCTATGGAGGTTTCTTAACGACACCGGTGCTAGGTTTCAGCGACGATACCTCAAAACGCTGAAACTATCTCGTTAACAAGCGCCCTAAAAGGTAAGTGGATGTGATCAGCTTTCACATTTCAATTTTCTATTTGAAATTGATTTAATTTTTCGCTGATGTACAAAAAAATATCAATTTTCATGCCCCCCTCTTGTCGTCGAAGTTAAAATGCATGCGGTTGTAAGACTATATATTACTTTTTTTTAACAACAAAGCTCATTACACCTCTTTATATACAAGACATGCCACACGACTAAGTGTATCTACTCGTTTTCGTTTTCACATGAATAATATATTTAAAAGTCTAAAAAAGCTTCGAAGTTAAATCCACTGGTACTATATAATCTTACTGATACACTAAAAACCGACCAAGTGCAAGTCGAACTCGCGCATCGAGGGTTCAGTAAAAACTCAATTTAATACCTCTACGCGTTCATGAGAAAAGAGGTATTAACTTTAAAATTTTCATAATATTTTTTGTTATATGATGTAACTAAAAATTTACGGTATTTGCATTTTTTTTCTTTACCTGTATTATAAGACGTTACTTCGTACCAAATTTCAAGATTCTAAATTCACGGGAAGTACCCTGTAGGTTTTGATTCCCGTGCGAGTTTCGAAAATTGCGGAAATTTGCGGCATAAACGGCTGTATCTTTTGATTGCTTTCGCTTAGAAGTTTGATTTTTTCACAGCTCCAAGGGACAATAGACATGAGTATTAGATATGAATTTCAGTTTGATACCTTACCTCCACGTGCTAATGAGAAAAACGATCTTGACAGACGGACGGACGGACAGACGGAGGGACAAAAAAGTGATCCTATAAGGGTACCGTTTTTTCCTTTTGAGTTACGGAACCCTTAAAAAAAAGGGAGATAGCATTAGTTACTTTCAATTTTATCGTTTAAACAATATAGTATACTAACAGGTATTGTAACAAAGTCGTCTAGCCTAATGTTTATTAGACACGCAGATTCCGTAAACAAGTAATTTGTCAGCCTGTTCCAAATCTCATTTATTTATTTTACTTTTAGACGAAGGTATAAATCAAAGTTATCTCTGAAAAAATCTAAAGGGTTTGAAAATTACCGTAATTTAAAATCCTCTTATAAGCATACGCTTGTTTTGCCTAAATGTATAAAAAAAGGTTATCAGACATCTGACATAATGACAGATTATAATGTAAGTCTATTTTTGTTTATATAAGATTTAAGATACCTTAATGCATTCATTGTACCTTGTAAAATAAAATGAACCAAGTACTAATTTACTGGAAAAACATTGTATGAATTGCCATTGCGATGGAATTCGATCCATATAAATTTTATTGTTTTAATATTTTCATTGTAAAAATTCTATATGAACTGCGCTTTATATTGAACGACTACTTTATACCTGACACCGTGATGATCAGCAAAATCGTAAGCAATTGAGTCAGTGCCCCGGAGTCAGTGGAGTCGTAAACAGTACCTACCCATAGTTTAGTTAGTGTTGATACGGTGAATTATGTATTTTTGGTGACGTCATCAATTAAATAACGCGTAAGTTTTATAATTAATAAGGTTATATATTTTTGAAGTGAAACTTCTTTACGCACGCTTGACTTTGGGGGTAAGCTGGCAAATGGGTTACGCGTTACGAAAAGTGTATTCGGTCGAGGCGAACGGGAGTTTAGTGGGAATATTAGCAAGAGAAATAATAATAAAATTTATTTTCTTTAACATTGGTTTAGTTTAATTATATACACATCATTGAAGCCACCTTTTAAGCAAATAATGCCTGTGACAGGTGACTCCGCTCTTCCATACCTAAAATTACAGTTTGCTTATCGGTCTTTATTTTTAAACAAAAAGAGGACTTATAAATGTAAGCACATATATCAAACAATAATATTTTTTTAAATTAAGAAAGCAGTGCGCGCGCACATTTTCTTTCTCTCTTTCTCTGATAGCTAGTATATGAAATATGTATATGTACATACATGAATATATTGTACACATATACAGATGGAGCTAAAGAAGTTTCACTTCAGTCGTGTGTAGGGTTGCCACCCGTACTTTATTATAAAGTACAATACAATACAATATTATTTAATGTGACTTGATTACTCGAGGATTAATTTTACATAATATATACAAAAGGAAGGTGACAAGAGATTTTTTGCGTAAAACTGACAAAAAATATGATAATGTCTCCGTTAGCTAATTCCTAGAACATTTTCGTGGCTGTATGCCTTTGTATACCTTTTCCTTCCTTGATTTTTGGTAGTTCAAAAGCTGCTAATAGCAACGTAAAATATATTCTTAAGCTTACTAATAAAGTGGAATAAAAATTCTCTAAATCTGATCTACATATAATTGCCAAGTTTCATGATGATACAAGAATTAGAAGTATGTATAATTCGGATTCTTAGATTTTATTACATAGTTACATGTTGACCTAATAAAAGTGTGTTAATAAAAAAAGACAATTCACGAAAGTTCAGTTCAGTTAAGATTGACTGTTCGATGAATAATGCCCATTAAAACACATAACATTGAAATTGCAATAAGTACTTCAGTTATTATGGTTTTATATTTACATTCTTCCTGTTGCATTCTCAACAATAAATTAAACATCTAGATACCTACTATGAGTGCCACTAGTACGATTCGTGCACAGGCCAAAGTTGACAATTCTAACGCGAACCCCTAGCATAAATCATGAAAAGTGAAGTACATACATGAGGTTACATTCTGTTCTGTACTACCTATTTTGTAGTAAATCTTTCTAGTCTAGAGTATCTGAGTAAGCTATAGATGCACGAACTAATGGATGATAGTGCAACTATAGCTATAGGGGCTCGTTGTTGACTCGTAACTCTAAAAAGCTGTCAATTATGAATAAGTAATACCGGTATGTTAAACCGTAAAATAAACAAAATACATAAATTATAGATATAAGAATACTAGCTGTTGCCCGCGACTTCGTACGCGTGGAATTAGTCATTTAAGTAGCCTATTGTTTATCCAATCTGATTTTTCTCAGTCTGTTTACGGTTTGTATTTGAGTCAAGTTTTAAGTCTCTTAGTTTACCCAAGGAATAAGATTTTTCATACAACCTTTCATTAAAACCTAAAACCCCTATTTGAAACTTGTCTTGTCTTGCTTGCATCAAGCGCGCGTGGATTTCCTTAGCAGAGTTATTTTAGAAATGTATTTATTATACTCTTCAAAGATCTTATACTTATAATCATCAACAAATATATTTCGAAAAAGATTATTACAGGATTTTATGTTGATAAAAAACTCTATGGCCCATAACTCATTAATAGGTACCAACTCTTAACATCTTACACACGTGATAACTTTTAAACGAAATATCCGATTGAGATGAAACAGAAAGTATTTTACTTCTACATAAATACTCTTGATAACATAATGCTTAATTTCGATAAAGATTAATATTACGATACATATTTAACGTAGTTTTTTTTTTTCAAACGATTAAATAATTATTTTGAACACAAAATCGGTTATTGTGATTAAACCATGATAGCTAGATATATGTCCTTGCGGATTTTTTTGTAGGTCTTAATGGGATCTACAAACCCGTAGTTAATCATTTTGTTCTATTATCAATGGTTTTTGCAGCGCACGCAAAAATAGGTTTTCGATTTTACATCTTGTGTTACAAAATAGCAATTTTATTACGGATCCCTAATTTTGAAAAAAGAAAATATAGCCTATAGCCTTCCTCAATAAATGGACTACCCAACACTGAAAGAATCATTCAAATCGGACCAGTAGTTCCAGAGATTAGCGCGTTCAAATAAACAAACTCTGCAGCTTTATAATATTAGTATAGATAAGAGTATCTACCTTTTGTTTACAAAATACATTCTGATCTAGGTACGTAAAAAAATCTAGAACCTGGAAAAATATCTTCTTTGTATTTGTTTTTAATTTACGAACCTACTGCTTCTGTTCATGCTTTTAATTAATTAAATCCTTTGGGTACCACAGCAAGCAATTTAATTACAGGAAGCTCTTAGAATTTGTAATATTTAGTATAAAAAATATCATCATCATCATCATCAGCCGAAAGACGTCCACTGCTGGACATAGGCCTCCCCCATGGATTTCCACAGCGATCGGTCCCATGCTGCCCGCATCCAGCGGCTTCCCGCGACCTTTACCAGATCGTCGGTCCACCTTGTGGGGGGCCTGCCAACACTGCGTTTCCCGGTACGCGGTCGCCACTCGAGGACCTTTCCGCCCCAGCGGCCATCGGTCCTGCGAGCAATGTGCCCTGCCCATTGCCACTTAAGGTTTGCAATTCTGTGGGCTATGACGGTGACTTTAGTTCTCTTGCGTATCTCCTCATTTCTGATTCGATCACGCAGAGAAACTCCGAGCATAGCCCTCTCCATTGCCCTTTGGGTGACTTTGAGCCTTCTTACAAGACCCATTGTAAGCGGCCACGTCTCGGTTCCGTATGTCATCACTGGCAACACGCACGAATTGAAGACTTTCGTCTTGAGGCACTGCGGTAGATGTTCCGAGAAGATGCTACATAGCTTCCCGAACGCTGCCCAGCCGAGTTGGATTCGTCGATTAACCTCTTTCTGGAAGTTGGACTTACCCAGTTGGACTATTTGTCCCAGGTATACGTACTGGTCAACAGCTTCCAGTGTAGAGCTCCCAACAGTCACTGGAGTGGGTACGACATGGGAATTCGACATGATTTTCGTCTTGTCCATGTTCATTTTGAGACCCACTTGATGGGACACCCTACTAAGGTCGCCGAGCATTGTGCCAAGGTCATCCATGGTCTCAGCCATGACTACGATATCATCTGCAAATCGAAGGTGCGTCATGTACTCGCCGTTTATGTTGATGCCAAGTCCGCTCCAGTCCAAAAGTTTGAAAACGTCTTCCAGCGCAGCTGTAAACAGTTTCGGTGATATAACGTCACCCTGTCTTACACCACGCTGTAGCTGGATTGGCTTCGTGCTTTGGTCCTGGAGTCGAACTGACATAGTGGCGTTTTCATACAACGACTGCAACACTTCGATGTATCGATAGTCTATTTGGCACCTTTGGAGTGACCGAAGCACGGCCCATGTCTCGATCGAATCGAAGGCTTTCTCGTAGTCCACAAACGCCAAGCATAATGGCAGGTTATACTCTTCGGTCTTCTGTATAACCTGCCGCAGCGTATGGATGTGGATAAAAAATATGTACAGTCTTTATTAATGTTTTCATTATAGCATACTAGCTTTTCATTCGTGACTTCGCCCGTTTGGACTACAAACTTTTGGGAATAGTACAACAGTCAAATTGGCAGATGGGCCCATAGCCAAATATTGTTTTTTTAACCTTTCACTTTTTACGTCTAACCATTTCCGAGTGGGTTTTAAGGTGTTCACCAATTCAGAAATGGATCCAAACGCCGGTATTAAATTAGTACTAAGACCATTTAGACTTACCCATAACCCTTCAATTTACTTTTCCATATAATGTTTTTACTTCCTTCATCATGGCCACTCACTACAGAAGCCAATTTCCGTAATGTTTCTGACGATCAGCCGTGACGACGGCAACGGTTTGAAAGATGTAAGGGCTATCTGCATCAGAAGTGAATGACGCTTATCCTTAATATACCTTCTTTTGTAAAGCGGTTGCACATCAAGGTCTGAACATACTGCTCGAGTTAAATTTATGTTCTGTTTACATTTTCTTCCAGTTTTCGTCAAAAATAAACAATGTTATTCACAAAGGCAACAATGTATCATTATTTTTACGATTTCATTAGAAAATATGCAGCTTGTATTACAGAATTCTGGATAAGATTCTATAAAAATCATAATTATTTCCAATCAAGAGTGACCAGTGCCGACTTTTAATATAATATAATGTATCTAGATATACACAAATTGCTTCGGTTGTAGTTTTGTATATCCAAAAAACCTAGTTCTCATTCATCATTTAATAATAATCATAATCATAATCAAAATCATTTATTCAGTTTAGGATTTTTTTATATAACTTTTAAAGGGGAACATTTCCGGCAACTTTAATCATTTACGCAGCGCACGCAACCGAATATCCCACAGAGTAACTTTGTATATAGGGAAGGAATGTCCCAAATGGACTATTTTTACCTGTTTTTGCAACATTTTACATCGATACTCCGCTCCTACTTATTGCAGCGTAATAGAATATAGCCTTAAGCCTACCTTAATTAATGCACTATCTAACACAAAAATATTATTTCAAATCGGATCATTAGTTCCTGAGTTTTGCGCGTTCAACCAAAAAAAATGGTGCATTCTGTACCTAAACTACGCAACAATATTTTCACTATCAGTTTATTAATTTTCATGGAAGGTTTAGGTAATTATATAAAGAAAATCATTGTGTATAATAGAAGCCTGAAAACAAAAACTATAGTCTACACTACAGTTCTACACCGAAGCGAAGTGAGGGCGCTCCACTAGTTAGATATAAAGTTATATGATATTAAGAAAAAGTTATAAAAGTAGTTCCATTGTACCTGCTATGTCATCGAAACCTACTTTAACATGCACACACACAGAGACGTAGTCATTTTGTAGGTAACTCATCTTTCGCTATAATATCATATTAGGGATGCTATAATTTATATTCTATTACCGATATTGGGTGAGGCTTATATTCCAAGACGAGCGTTTGGCTGTCTAACCCAAATAACACGCGTAACTGAATTAACTGTATGTACGACATACGAAATATAATTTTACTTTATCGGGGTGAGCGCTTTTTCGTTTGTTCGTTTAACATAAAAATATTCAGACCTACATACTAAAGGATACTTTTATTATTTTTGACGTGACAACGTCTTTCAATTTGATGGAGCCAGCTGCACGCACGAAAAAACATGACTCATGCGGCGTTACCTCGCTCTGAGACGTTCCATTTAAAGCTTGAAGTGCAAGCGAGAGCGGGCAACGAGCGATAAAGAGGCACAATCGGCCTCCGCGTTCGGTAGCGTTCGACATCTGTCTCTCTCCTACTTGAGTGAGCGATGCGTCCGCGTGGACAGCTGCTATACAATAATACATTTACATGTTTTCGTCAAGTATGAAGTGCAGTGAAAAGTGAATGTGGTGTCAATTGTTTATAGCAACGATAATTGCGGCGATAAAGTTTATGATTCTTTAGAAATTAAATAAATGTTCAGTGATATATTTTCGAATATTAGTGGTTTCATATAAATAGCATCGTTCCGCTAGTGCAGCGATTGTAGGTTATGCTATAATTGACAAAACTATAACAATAAGTTATCAGAACTATTTCGTGACATTTAATTAAAATTGAATAGAACTATGTACATTATAAAAAAACGTTGTCACGTTCAACTATCGTCAGTAAACCCACTTTGCAGACAACCGATTTTTTTGATGTGTAGCATCTTTTCTTGGTTCATTTGTGGGAGTGATTTCGTGAAATGGGACGGAAGTGTGGAATAGGAAGTTGCGAATGCGCGCGCTATTTGTTTTGATTTTAGAACATAATGTTCAAATGGATTATTCCCTTTGTTATAAAAAAAAGATGATTGAATGTTACACTTAAAAGTCAGAAAAATTGGTCCTGAAGTATTCAAATACATTAACATTAAAATTGTGTCTACAAAAATTCAAGTTTTTTTTTTAAGTGGGCAATGTTGGTTAAATAGCTTTACCTTAGTAACTGTAAAAGTTTCGGCACATCTTGAAGTTTTTCAAATTCTTACATCTCCATACATCATTGGTATTTTTATATTAGTAAAATGGTACTAGAAGCCATCAAACAATAACACTTTACCTCGGCTGCGTTTTATTACACTGTGTATTATCAGGATGAGCATCAGCTGATGTGCCAGCAGAACATGGCCCCGGGACATTAATTATTAAAATTTAATCTTGTCATAAATTCAATGGAATCTTTGGGGAAAATCCGTTACGAAATCCTATGACACACGAAGTGAAGCCGTAAGCACATAAATAAAAAATGGAATATTATTTTTAATACAGTACATACTTCGTCAAGTAGATGCACACGGTATAGAATATATTGTTTTTTACGTACGACGTGTCGAATGGTGCTAAGCAATGGTAATATTTGACGTAAAGGGGATTACATAGGTATCATCATCATCATCAGCCTCTTAATGTCCCCACTGCTGGGGCACAGGCTTTCCCTATGGATGGAATAGGGATATTGGGCCAAGACCCACCACGCGGGCCCACTGCGGATTGGCGGGTGCTAACGCCTGCAGATGCATAATATATACTCGTATATATATATATATATATATATAAACCTTTTTTATTTTTCTACTATTCTTCTATTAATATTGTGAAAGTTTGTGCGTTTTATTACAAAATAACGCAAAAAGGGTCAAAAGGGATTTGATTATTTCTTGACACAGTTTATTGCCTGAAAACCTGAAAAAGGTTAAGTCGGGAACTTAACCTTAAGGTTATACTAAATACAGAACGTTATCTACTTGTAACTACTAAGAATGTATATTCGTGTAACATTAATCCGGAATAAAAACTATCGTTTACTGTTAACAAGATTTACAATAAAATACACAATACTTTATTGAAATAACACATAACAGTACAGAATTGGGGTAAATACATAATGTACTTCAATGGGCGGTCTGATCGCTAAAAAAGATTTCTTCCAGCCAATCAAAAAATAAAGTAAATAAACATTTTTAACACTATCACTAATTAGCCAAATCCCCAAAGTTAGTTTAGCACTGCAAGGCTTGTGTTATGTAACTAAGGTAACTGAAATAATAAATACATATACTTAAAAGTATACATATTTATATCAGAGTTGGAAATCAACAACTATATGTACGCGGTAATCAAAATAATTATTTTCACGGATAATTATCTGATAATTATTATTTAGGCATTGGTAAATAATTTATGCACATTAACGAAAGTATTTTTTGGTATTATTTTGTTTTATTATAAAATCACATTTAAAAATAAAATAAGTATTAACAATCTATGTGTTCAATGATTTTTCAAATCTTACTATTGCTCTTATTGCCTGCCTTTGACTTTTATAATTTATTGTTCTCTCACACATTTGGCCTACTGGATTCGTACCTGGTATCTCTTAGTACTACTCACAGATTCCTTGAAACCCAGTGTACATACCACTTGGCCACGGAGGTCGTCGGAAATTTAAACTAAATGCGGACTTTTCTGGCGTCCACATACCTGACAGTATCAAAGAGATTGACGTTCTGATGAAATCGAGGAAAAGTCGCATAAACACTATTTAGTAGTATAAAACAAAGTCGTTCCTGCTGTCTTTACGCTAAAACTTTAATGAGTTTTAGCAATACAAATGGAAGTTGTGTAATACATGTCCGAGAATATATCGCCAGTCTTCACCTAAGAGAAGTGAGGGCGGGTCACTAATAAATTACAAATATTATAGGATTATTTACTCAAATATTTTTTGCATTTTCAGAAAATGAAAGATCGAACAGAAACCGAGAAAGGCATTGATAAACTGGGGCTTCCTCCCATGACACTGGCGGAGTGTAATGGTAAGAATAAAAACGTGATGCTCCATAAGCAGTCCATCACCACACAATCAGTTATTTAGTATTTAATGGTAACACTAGTCTTCAAATTAGTTAGAAATTATGTTTTCTAAAAGAGCTTGCTACCACAGAAGGGAGTTTAAAATGTAGGTAGTTTGTTATTGTCGATTCAACTGGAAATCAAACCCGGGTGTAAATAATTGACCTACCGCTTTGTATAATAGTTTTTAATATTTTTTCTATGTGCCTGTTCCAATTTTGTATATACACGAACGACGACCGACGGCCAATTCTTGAATTAAGGCAGCGCCGAAAATGGATGTTCATTTTTTTGCATATTATTGAAGATTTAACAGATGAATTAGTTTTTTTTTATATATCCAGTAACACTTTGTTAAGTTTATTATATCAATGCATATATCTTAACCTCGGATTTGAACGGATCTGAATCATGACCATTGTCAAGTCTAGCATGCTCGCTTCCTAGTAAGAGAGGTTGTTTATTTTACTGGATATTGTTAAAATCAAATATTATAAGTGGAACAAAGAATACAAAAAAGATCGTTTAAAGAAAATTGAGCAAATTTGATAGCAAACGAAACAGCAGAGATTGTCCATAAAGAACGTTACAAATACAGTTTAAAAAACTGTATTTTTTAGCATTTCCAGTTATTCCTTGTAGGTACGGAAACTGGTCAGCTGATAAGTCACTTAGACTTCTGTCCACTTGGCTAACTGGTGACGCTGTGAATGGAGAAGCCTAAAATCGGCTAGTGGCCGAATGCGCCACTCAGGATATCGCACAGCAAGTGGTTTGTTCGCAAATCCATTGAAATATGGTGTGATCTTGTCGTGGTACAGTGTATCGTTTCTCTCTAGTGATGGCTAAAGCATGATTCTTAGCTTCAATGTTATAACGTCAAACAATATCCATGCGTTAGCAATATACATGGATCATTTCAGGCCGGTAAAGCAACCAAGCTTTTGAAAATTTTAATCTATTATCTACAAATTATACTTATTGTTCTTCTTGTTATAGAAAAAATAATGGAAAATTATTGATCTTTTATACTACCTAATCATCATACACAACGTCCTTTTTGACAGAGAGATAAAAAAAAATTAATTTAAAATATAGTTAAACATTTGTTCATCTTTTTTAATGTCTTTTACAGAAAACAACAAACAGCGCAGGGATATGCTTATATATAACATTGTTAGAAAAATATGTATATTTCTACTTCTCTTCACTATCTTCGCTGGACTTTTATTATTTACGACACGACTCATCGACAGTATAGGTAACATAAACCACAAAATGAACGAAACACACTTCTAACCTGAAGATAATTTTGTTTATTTTTTTTTTATATTGATAATTCAATATTTCAGAAAATTTCCGCACCACAGAAATTGTATTCGTTACAAGCGTTAGCAAAGGTTCAAAGGTCATACGACAACAGGACGCAGTAGAAGTATCTTTCCAACTGAAAAATCACTCGTCTGATAAACTTCCCAGCTTGGAAAGGAAAAAACGAGACCTAGAACACCACACTGCTGAAGACACAATTGCGAAATTCAAAGACGTAGACTATAAGAAAGCTAGAGAAGTCATTCTGAATCATAATGTTTTATGCAATAATGAAAACAAAAACGAAGTTTGTAAAAACATTGTCATGAAGTTGAAATCAATCACGGAAGACGGACATAACCAAGTAGACAGTAGCAAAGCTAAAGACGTTCCGAAAGCAAATATTGATTACCTAACTAAACGTGATGCTCTACCGATACCCGATATCGACAGATTTGTTGAAAACCGTGACGCCTATGGCCCCTCGTATGCGCCTGATCCATATTCTTCATGGGTTCCATATGCACCACCTCATTCAAACCAAGGTTTTGCACATCCACCTTCAGACACTTGCTTACTTGCACATCTTATAAAACAACAGCATCCCCAAGGTTATAATTTGGCTTAAAGTTGAATGAATTTAATATTTAAAGCAAGCTTAAACAACTATTTTTCTTTGACAGGTGCATATGGATATCAACCTGAAAATTTACCTAATCAGCATTACGGATATCCTTATCCTGAAACGCACCCTTTGTAAGTAGCCTTCGTTTTAAATGACGTTTGGAAAACTCATTAATTTTCCAACACTACAGTCTCTATGAAAATGAATTATTAAAAGTTAATTTAATCGTACTTTACGAAACTAAAAATCTTTTTGCAGATACCGTTCTTCGTATACTGAGGAACGAAATTCTGAGCCGGTCCACACACAACCACATCCTCAAGATATAGAAATATTTATGAAATTTTTAGCCCCAAAGTGAGTATCAAAGTAGCAGAGCACATCAAACAGTAAACAGTAGGTATTTCATATGGGAACAAATAACCCAAAATAGGTAAACATCGTATCTCAAGAGAGCGAATGAGAAATGAACTTTATTTTATTTGCTCTCACCCTAAATTAGTTTCGAGAGTCACTCGGCAAATTCACTATATTTCTGGAATCGTACACGTAATACAGAGTACAACAATCTTCTTATTGTGTCTACAACCACAACTGTACAATATTTTTTTTATATAGGAGAATCCATAGGGAAGGCCTGTGCCCCAGCACTGGGGACATTAATAGGCTGATGATGATGATGACGTATTTTTTTTAAAGTGAAACTGAACTTTCATTACATCGCCACAATTTTTTGTTTCTAATCATAATATCATAAATTTTTAGACCTAGGGGGAGTAGGTCTATAAAGTCTATTATTAAACGAAGAATAGGGTTTGATTAGTTACTCAACATTTTGACTCTGTTTATTGCATCATCGAATTCGAATGACACTTGAATAATATAAACAAAACACGGCGTAACTATAAGCTTATACCTCGTTTATTAAAAAGTGTGATTGCATATTATATCTACAAATATTGATATAGTGATCATTGTAACTTACTTTGTTTTTTTCCTTTAATCAAAAATAATTTATGGTATTCACTAGTGGCCCGCCCTCGCTTCGCTTCGGTGTAGAGCTGTAGTGTAAACTATACTTTTTGTTCTCAGGCTTGTGCTATAAAGAATGACTTTATTTATATAATTACACGTGTTATTGTGATTCAACCATAAAAGATAGACATATGCTGTTGCGGGATATTTTTTAGACAATTTTATGTAGAATATTTCCGTCATACATGATTTCTATGTAACTTTAACCATTAAGGCTGCACCCGCGACGGAAGCTTCAAAAATGGAGTAACTTCTCCCGTTTTCCCAACATTTCCCTTCACTACTCTGCTGCTATTGATTGTAGCGTGATGAAAAGTATACTATAACCTGCCCAGGAGTATGAAGAATAATTGTACCAAGTTTCGTTAAAATCCGTTGAGTAGTTTTTGTTTCTATAAGGAACATACACACAGACAGACAGACAGACAGACAGACAGACAAAAATTTTACTGATTGCATTTTTGGCATCAGTATCGATCACTAATCACCCCCTGATAGTTATTTTGAAAATATATTTCATGTACAGAATTGACCTCTCTACAGATTTATTATAAGTATAGAAGATAATTATCTTTATACCTTTTAATATAAAAAATAAGATATTCACATTCTCAGAAGTTATGGAGAAAATAACCAAACTTCCTTTTAGACCACAGGTGACTTCCACGGGAAAACACACAAACGCATCGCTCCGTGATGCCCAATGTCCAGAGGGTACTATACCCTGTGACAACGGTGAAAGCTGCATAACAGAAACTCAGTGGTGCAACGGACATGTGGATTGTTCCGATGTCAGTGATGAGTCGAGATGTAGCTGTAAATCAAGAGTCGATAAATTCAGACTTTGCGATGGATACTTCGACTGCCCATTCGGAGAAGACGAAATGGGATGTTATGGTAATATTCGCAGCTGCTGTTGCCAAGTCTTTTTTTATAGAAAGGATGTGAAAAGAACATATTATGTCCAATTTTCCATATTTCTGCAATTCGGGGACGAATTGCAGAAATCCTAAATGCATGGACCGATTTCGTTAAAATTTTATGGGTATTTTTAGGTGGGTGAGCTCCGAATTTATAACAGGGCCTGGTAGGTAGGACTGCAATGAAGTTCGAGATTTAGATTTATTTATTTACAGTTCTAGGAGATTTTTCATATTTTTATCAGGTATGTCAAAGTGTCCCGCTAGAAATACAAAAAAAAATATTTTCACAGGTTGCAGCGAAAATGCATTTAGCTGTGAAGACTTAGATTTGAATTCAAAGAGTACTTGCTTCACAAAAGAACAAAGGTGTAATAATATTATGGAGTGTCCGAATAACAGGGACGAGATAGATTGTAATATGCTGTCACCCAACCTTTTCACAAAACCGGTAAGCATATTATATATCCTCTTTTTATTCTGATAGAAAGATATATTTTAACCTAAAGCTGTGACAAAAGTGACTGTCGCAAGTTTATTGGCTTCAACTTTCCTTTCGAGCAATGAACCCGGGTCCGCCCTATTTCAGAAACCAGGTTAGTTTCTGATTTATTTGAAACTAGTGGCCCGCCCTCGCTTCGCTTCAGTGTAGAGCTGTAGTGTAAACTATAGTTTTTGTTCTCAGGCTTGTGCTATAAACAATGACTTTATTTATATAATTACACGTGTTATTGTGAGTCAACCATAAAAGATAGCCATATGCTGTTGCGGGATATTTTTTAGACAATTTTATGTAGAATATTTCCGTCATACATGATTTTTATGTAACTTTAACCATTAAGGCTGCACACGCGACGGAAGCTTAAAAAATGGAGTAAATTCTCCCGTTTTCCCAACATTACCCTTCACTACTCTGCTGCTATTGATTGTAGCGTGATGAAAAGTATACTATAACCTGCCCAGGAGTATGAAGAATAAGTGTACCAAGTTTCGTTAAAATCCGTCGAGTAGTTTTTGTTTCTATAAGGAACATACACACAGACAGATAGACAGACAGACAGACAGACAAAAATTTTACTGATTGCATTTTTGGCATCAGTATCGATCATTAATCACCCCCTGATAGTTATTTTGAAAATATATTTCATGTACAGAATTGACCTCTCTACAGATTTATTATAAGTATAGATTAGAGACTATTTCTTTTTAACTACCTACATATATATAGTTTCATTTTCCTTCTTTGATAGAAAAGTTGCTAAAATTTTGTGATTATTCAAGTACACAATTGGATTTTTTATTGTATAGCCTCAATTTAAAATTAAGTATTAGATAGTTATAAGACATACTATATACACTCATAATAAATTGAAATAAATAATAATATATATAAAAAAATGGATGCGTGTAACTTATGTACGCGCGTGAGAAGTTATACTTCTTTAGCATCATTAAAATATTTTTTAATTGCATGCAAATAATTAATAATTACAATAAAATAATAAGGGGACTGGAAAAGGATAGTTAACACAGTCAATTAAGTTCAGTTTTAATTTGAAAAATTAAATAAATATTCAAAATATTCAATTAAAATCACTACTGAATTTAAGTTATTAGTCCATATGTAATTAGCACTTGTAAGTAACTAAACACGTTGTGTTCTTGACCTTCACAAGTGCTTGTAACAGCCTAGACTGAATAAAAGTCATTTCATTTCATTTCGTTTCGTTTCGTTTCGTTTCGTTTCGTTTCGTTTCGTATCGTTTCGTTTCGTTTCGTTTCGTTTCGATTCGTTTCGTTTCATTTCATTTCATTTCAATGTCCCGTTCAAATCTGCTCTGTTTGCTTTGTTCAAATCTGCCCCACGGTCACTTGGAAAATAAAATATTACAAATAACGCGCCCGCGGCTAACTTCATTATGTTAAAATTTTGTATTACAGTGATGAAAATTTCACTCTCATAATTTTTTCATAACGCGGCTAAAGAAGTATAACTTCAATAAATATTTCCCACACTCACACCAATTAGCCTAGCCCCAAAGTAAGCACTGTAAGGCTTGTGTTATAGGATACTAGGGTAACGGATAGAATACATATACTGTACATAAATAAGTATATTTATATAGAAATACATATTGAACATCCATGACTGGAGTACAAATGCTCGTATTAATCACACAAACATCTGCCCCCGCCGGGATTCGAACCCAGGACCTCTCGAGTCGTGTCGTCGGCAATGAAACCCGGCGTACAAACCACTCGGCTACGGAGGTCGACAATGAATCAAATTCAATAGTCGAGGCAATTGATGAGTAAACTTTTGCTTTATTATACCTAATTTTCTATATTATATATAATTTAAGTTACTTTTAATCAACAAAATACTTATTTTGTGAACATAAAAATTTATCATTAAGTTGACTCTGCTTATCAGCAATCCTACGCATAACTGGCTTTTTTTTTGTCAAGCTGTTTATTATAAAAAAGAGCGTTCGAAAAAAACGAATTGGTACCAAAAAAAAATAATTTGAAAGATTCAGTGACAATACGGTAAAAGAAAATGCTTGAAAGCAAAACCATGTCTGAAGTTTTTCAGGAAGGGAAACTTTTTGAGGTTACTATAATAGGAATAACCTTGTCGCCTGCTAAGCTTTCTCTTCAACGCATTATTTTCTTAAACCGAAAGAAAATATAACTCCAATCTCCAGAATCAAATTTTTGGTCAGTCGCCGTCATCTTTCTTTCTTGGCTAACTAAGGTAGTTATCTATGTTTTTATTTTTACTAATTTCAATGGTACCTATAACTGTTACAGCTATTTGCAATTTCCAACACAGAAGGGTTTTTACAACGTAATTACAAAGGTGATTGGTACGCTGTGTGTAAGAATCCTTACATGTGGGCACACGATGCTTGTCGTCGAGAAACGGGACTCATATTAAGGTAAATGAGTTTTATATTGAGATATTGACTATTTTTACTCATATTAAGGTAAATAAGTTTTATATTGAGGTTAAATACCTCAATATAATATGTCAATAATAAATTAAAAATAAACTATATCCTTCCTTACTAATTGCACCAAAAAGAACACTTTCAAATACCTACAGCAACCAAGATCAAAATCCGGAAACTTTGATCAATTCTCATCAAAGGGTGTTTTCTTCTCCAAAACTGTGTCCAGATTTTGATGCTAATCTTAGCATCTATCCATTATGATCAAATATGTTGCTTCATTATTAAAGATTGTTACATACTAGATACACAATAAAGCTTACGAACTTTTTGCAAACAAGCTCATTCATACAGAGGCTTGGACATGAATTCTATAGCAAAATTATCTCAAGTTACATCCTTCAATTACATCCTTTTTTATAGGCCACCCATAATACAAATCATACCAGTTGATCCACTACTACGAATGAAGTACTTGAACACCGGTCCAGCAGGACTTCACACCAGCGATATGTGTATGAACTCATCTGCTATTTACATCACCTGTCCTGAACTGCTTTGTGGCACAAGAATATCAACCACGTCCCAACTGCTGAAAGAGGTAAGCAAAGGCGTATGAATTTTGTATTGACATGATCGAAAATTTTTATTTCATCAAGCATACGGTAGATTACGATTTCAAAAAGGAAGTGTTTTCCCATTAAGCAAAGTAATTTCCGTTTTCCTAGTATAATCAAAATCATAACGGTTTAGAGTAAGACAAAGGAGAGGTAAACTCAAACTTATGGTGGCCAGGTGGCCACTCATCATCAAGCCGCTAGCCACCATCAAATACACATTCCAGTCCTATCATCACTGTAGGATAAAAAGATTACACTCAAAATAGGTAACTCCTCTACCTCTACCTTAATTCAAAAATACCAAGAGAGATGTTGAATTATTATTTTGTTTTAATTTTATCAAAATTCTAACAGCTTTTATATCCTTTATTTTTTTTCAGAATGCAGCCATCGAAAATCACCTTTACGGTAGAAATAAACGTTTTCTAGTAAACGGCCGCCCATATCCCTCCACGTATAGCCAACGAGGATCGCACGATAAAGCCTCATTGGTTAAAAGGAAGACAGCTAAAAAACCATCCGATGATTTGAGATTAAAACGGGCACAGAGTAGAGTGGTAGGCGGCAGGCCTAGCAAGCCGGCCGCGTGGCCGTGGGTGGCTGCGTTGTACAGAAACGGCCTGTTCCATTGTGGAGGAGTGGTCCTAACGCAGCAGTGGGTTTTATCGGCGGCCCATTGTGTTCACGAGTAAGTTAACGCGCGGATAAATAATGACGTTCGTAACAACACGACGTTATAGTTCTCTTGAGACGCAATGAACTGTTAAGTCATAGATAACACAATAATGTGCGTAATAACTCTCGGAGTAGGAACTTCGAAGTCATTTAGCTTTTTAATAATAGGTACACACACAGCAGGGACAAAATTTGACGCTTCTTGAACAATAACAATTAAGTAAGGAATAATATAAACTTTTTCATACACATCAAATAAGCTTAATGACTATGTTGTTTAGTAAAAATATTTGTAGGACATTATTGTAAATTACACTTTATTTTGATAATATCAAACTTAACGATTTGATGCAAAGTAAAAAACCTACTACTGAATTTTGTTTGTGACTTACAACCTGAGATATGCTATCCTCCTTACCTTCACGCTGAAAAAGTAAAAGATAACAGACCAAAAAATACACTAAAAATCTTCATCATCAACTACAGGTTCTGGAAACACTACTACGAAGTGCAGGTTGGCATGCTGCGTCGCTTCTCGTTCTCACCGCAAGAGCAGAACCACCGCATCACTCACGTCATAGTGAACCAGAAGTACGACCGCGATGATATGAGGAACGACCTCTCTCTGTTACGCGTTATGTCCGCCATACAGTTCAGTCGATGGGTGCGACCGATATGTCTACCGGGGCCGAATACTGCAGGAAGGGACTGGATGTGGGGCCCGCCACCGGGAACACAGTGTACTGCCGTCGGGTGGGGCGCCACTGTGGAGCACGGACCAGATCGTAAGTCGAATTCTTACTTATTTACTAGGAAAAACGTGTGGAGTCCATCATATAGTTTATTCGGGTTAGGCCGATATGTCTGCCGGGACCGAATACTGCAGGAAGAGACTGGATGTGGGGCCCGCCACCGGGAACACAGTGTACTGCCGTCGGGTGGGGCGCCACTGTGGAGCGCGGACCTTATCGTGAGTCAAACTCTTACTTATTTACTAGGAATAACGTGTGGAGACTATCATATAGTTTATTCGGGTTAGGCCGATATGTCTGCCGGGCCGAATACTGCAGGAAGGTGCTAGATGTGGGGCCCGGCGCCGGGACCACTGTGTACTACCGTCGGATGGGGCGCCACTATAGAGCGCAGACCTGATCGTAGTCACCATCATCATCAGCCTTTTAATTTCCTCACTGCTGAGGCACAGGCCTTCCCTTTGGATGGAGTTAGGGAGGTGGGGCCATGATCCAGCACCCAGGCCCAGTAAGGATAGGTGAATGCTAACGACTGCAGATGCAGCAGAGACCAACAGCTTACCGTAATTTCCGTAGCACGGAGGAACTCGAGGTATTAAGTTTTGATCACCCATCCAATAACCAACCATTGCTTAACTACCACGAACACAGACGAATGCACTAACCACCTGCGCAACTGAGCTCCTTAATCGTAATCGTCAATCGTAAGTACACCTTTTACTTATTTATATATTCGGAATAACAACGGTTTACAATATAATATACCTGTTATTGGAGGAGCTCGATGGCGCAAGTGGTTAGCGCGTTCGGCTGCGATCGTTGAACTTTAGCAACTTTCGCAGTGGTCGGTCATTGGATGGGTGACCAAAAATTACTATCTCGAGCTCCTCCATGCTTCGGAAGGCACGTTAAGCCGTTGGTCCCGGCTGCATTTGCAGTCGTTACCACCCACCACTCCGCACTGGGCCGGCGTGGTGGGTCATGGCCCAATCTCCCTTTTCCATCCATAGGGAAGGCCTGTGCCCCAGCAGTGGGGACATTAATAGGCTGATGATGATACCTGTTATTGTCCTTACACATAAAGAAAAAAAAGAAATTGCATAAATATATAGAATTTAAAAATATTGTCTGAAATTTAAAAATAACATTTCCCAGTCCATCACTTTACAACAGCTTTCAAAGTTTCTTCTCCGTTGTTATCAACTTAAAAGTAGCCTATGATTTTTCCATCCGTACGGAAAAGTTAGCCACCAGTGTATTCTGTGTTATCCTTTCGTCCCAGATCAGCGTGGGAGAGTATCTAATTTCAACTACGTAGGAGGATAATATCACATTTCAACGTTATTACGAGACTGATTAGCCGAAGCACCCCTTTGGAGGCACAATGTTACCGCAACTGTGTTTATGGCGAAGTTTTTAATGTTGATTAAGGACTTTGTTTCCCAAGATAATCTTAATTACAAAAGACTCTGAGAGCTAGCTGCTCCAAATTAATATTAAGAATAAGTATCATTCATCACGCTGTGAAATTCTTATTAAGTACTTACGATGCTTGACAACCACTTAAATAAACTCGATATGATAACGGTGAGGTTCTTGAAAATGTTTTCAGCAGTTCTTAGTGGAACCGAGAAAATATTTCGAGATTTTTCGTTTTATGTTACTTTTCCTTTGATATTGTTGATTTCTTATCTATACTAATATTAAAACTTCCACTGACTAAATTTAAATCTCAGATCAAAATAATATCGTATCTATCTAATGCCGCTTCCTATATACTAAATATAATGTTAACTATAAAATTTATTGTAACTATATATTTATAATCTAAATGATTTAATGGAAGGTGACCTCAGACGTATCTCTGAAGGCATTTTTCAACTTGACGACTCTGTATATGGGAGAAAAAAAACAACCCTTGCTGAGTTTCTTGCCGGTTCTTCTCAGTACAAGGTCTCCCGCCGTAGATTTACAAACCGATGGCGTAGCTTCTTGACCTTCACAAGTGCTTGTAACAGCCTAGACTGAATAAATGACTTTTCATTTCATTTCATTTCAAAAAACTGAAGTGTTTTCGCTGCGTAAACGGTTAAAGTTACACAAAAAATATGTACGAATAATTGTTTTCCTTTTAAATTTCTAAGAAAATTCCGCAGCAATATTTGTCTATCTTTTAAGGTTGACTCACTGTAAACTTTTTTGTGTCAAAGTTGTTCTAAAATAATGCATTATCTCCGTATGTGTTTTTGTAAACATGATATTATTCCTTATCAAAATTAACACATTATTCTTCAAAAGTATTTAATTTTGATCAAAATTGTTCTTGACGTCAATAGATTTCAATAAATATCTTAAGAAATATCATAGGTTTAAAATAACTGTAACAAAATAATGATGAAGTACCAGGCACGCATTTAAGAGCCCTTTTACAAAATTCGTAAATCAATTCAAATTCGATCGGCGCGTAGGTAGATTTGCACTAGTATATATTGCATTTTATGGATGATGTTTCGAGTCTTATAAAATAATTATTAATGAACTAATTATAAAAATATATACATTTTTCAGTAGTTCAATGATAGAAGATTAGTTTTATGAAAGTTTTTGATAATAGTTATATTAAATTCAATATCAATACGAGGTAAACCTGCATTATAATTTGGGAAAACTCACGGAGGTTAGATGTTTTTTTTTGATAATTAATGAGATGGAAAATCAAATTTCTAATACGTTATGTTGCAACGAAAACATATTTCTGATGTTGTAGTAATTAATTTGATCTAATTCATTGAACATTATAGAGAGATTGAGGCGTTTGAAGTTGAGCATATTATCGTTTTTTCCGTAAACTAGCTGCAGTAGAACGATCAGTACAAAAACAGGAAAATAGTATTTGCAAATATTCTACATTAACTTACAATAGGAAGAATAAATCTACTGTTTACTTCTATTGGAAATAGTCAAAATCTTTTTTAAGGGGTTAAACGAGGCGCTCTAAAATTACGATTTTTTTGCAAAAAATGTGAAAGGGCTCTTAAGTTGTCCAAGATGGGCGAGTGCGGGCGGGTTAAACGTGAAGGAGAGCCTGCTAGCTGGCGGCCAGTAGCTGTGCGAGTTTTCTATGTTTGTGACTCAATCAGGCAAAGACTACTGAAAGGATCCTGAGTGGGTTACCTACAATGTGCAGAGATGGCGCTGCCTTGAAACCTAAGAAAGGTTAGAGAAAATTCGACACGGCCATCAGGGCCGTGGTAGCATAATGGTCAGTGCATTCACCCGGATAGCGAAGGGTGCGGGTCGAGTCCCGTCTGCTGGCTGGTCCGCGTGGAAATTTTCTAACAAAAGGACAATGGGCAAAACACACCCAGCTCCGCCAACAATGTAATTAGTATGAATCGATAGATCTATGAAAAACTAGCCTTTTTTATTATGACACCGAAAAAATATATCCTGGGAGTCAAAAGATATGACACCGTAAAAATATCCTGGTAGTCAAAAGATATGACACATGGGCATATTAAAGTAGGTAAATAAAATTCATTTTATAGTACCTTCATTTTATATTATTAGTAACCATAATAATATGCCATATCCTACTATACAACCAGATATACGACAAAGCCTGCCGATCCATCCTGCGCTTGCAAGTGCACAAGTAAGTACTGAGTCACCTCAAAACGGTTTACGGGGGTTGAAGGACTTGCATTTGCAAATAGTCGACTCGTCTTACTTCGTTGTAATTGTCACTTTATTGGTTTTTATGTAACACGCTTTGGACATTAGAACACGGTAATCGGTTTTGTCAATTAGTATCGATGAACTGGAATCATGTTTTCTCCGAAGCGTGGACAAGGTTGGGTGATTTGTGGACGCTCAATTTTACAAAGAAGACAATTTACTATAACGAACAGAATATTTGAAAAAACCCCAACCTATGCGGGGATTTTTGGATTTACTCTAGTGCTGCAGTATAACATAAGGGGGCACCCTTGAACCTTGTGAAGTACTCCCATAATACCTGAACCCCCTATGTAGTGTCAAACTAACTAACGAAATTAATTCCCTTGTTTCATTAATGTTCCTTCGTTATAGTACTTGTACCTATTTAACTTAAAATAACTTAAGACTCCCGGGACAGAATTTGATGCGCTTTGGCACAGATGATCATGACTATAATACCTTTCAAACAAATGTAGTTTAAGCCGTGGCGGACGTGGGTGCAGCGTCCATACTTTTTTGCCCAATGTCCTTTTCTTTAGATCTTCTAAAAGTATTGATATATATTAGATGAAATTTGTTGCACATATAGTTTATGACCTGGATTGAGACATAGGATAAATTTTATTCCGGAGAAGTGTCAGGTTCCTGATGGATTTTCAAAAAACTAATGTTAACGCGGACGAAGTCGGGGACACTAGTACTAATATAAATGCCAAGTATAACATGAACGTAAAGAAGAAGTTTTAGTTAGTTTTTTTTCCACAATAAGAAAGAAAAAAATCACCATTGCCTATTGCACAAAAAAAACAAGAGTTTGTTTTTTTGTCTGAGATTATAGAAATTTTCGCCTGCGTTTTCAAAACAATAAGGATACTTTTTTAAGTATCCCCACTGGTAGGAATAGATGCAACCTGGGCTACGATATTATATACAATTAGCGCTTTGGCTAAACTCAACAAGTTCCCTGTCAGGGTGTAACTTTATGAACCAAAAACCAACATATCCGTTAACAGCAAATAAAGCAATAAATCAAAAATAATCTCTATCTTTTTAGCTGACCACATGCGTGAGGTAGAGTTGCCAATATGGGAAACCTGCAAGCACTCGGAAGATCGTCAAGGAAAAGAAATATGCGCTGGGTTAATGGAAGGTGGCAAAGACGCCTGTCAGGTTGGTACCTCGACATTATCACATTTGTGTCCCTACTGCTCGAGCACAGTCCTTCCTATCATGAGGGTCCAACGTCAATTGAAGAGTGCTAACGACTCCACCTGTATCTGAGGCTACCATACATGCAGTGGAACTCTATATTGTTAAATTTTCTGGTCAACGATTTAATTGGCTGAAGCTAACATAGTAACTCTACGTTGAAAAAAATCTGGTCACTGATTTAAAGGCCAGCCAGTGCGAAAGTTACTTAACTCCCACTATACAATAACTTACCTATACTGAGCTTATTAAGCTAACGCGCTTTTTAAACTCCTATATTTGTTGATGTTGGTACTTTCTAGTAACAGAATAAAACACACCGTCATTTTGATATGCATTATGGCGTGATTACACTAGGTCGTTAGCCCGAATACTAGTGTCAATGAAATTCGGGTAAATGACTAAGTGTACATGAACGGAGTCGAGTTTCGTGTTGGTTACCCGACACCGTCTCCCAGCCCGTATTCCAGTGTAATATTGCTTCGAACTCGAGTAATGGCCTTCGTGCACCCGAATACGGGCTAACGACCAAATGTACTTGAGCCATAATTAACAGAAACCATTACATGCATCAAAGCCACGTAGATTGGTCTACTAAGAAGTAAATAAATATTTTCCACACTCACACCAATTGCTCAGCCCCAAAGTAAGCACTGTAAGGCTTGTGTTATGGGTTGCTAATGTAACGGATTAAAAAAAAACAATTTTATTACCAATAATATTAAAGGCGATATACATGTTGGTGTTGTGGTTAATAGCTTGACTTTATTCTTGATTTATATGCAGGGAGACAGCGGAGGACCACTTTTGTGCAGAAATCCGTTAAATCCACAACAATGGTACGTGGCAGGCATTGTAAGTCACGGAGACGGGTGCGCTCGCAAAGGCGAGCCGGGTGTTTACACGCGAGTCAGTCTGTTTGTTAAGTGGATAAAGTTCAATATAGGTAAGTAAAAAACCATTACAATCACTTATAAATAATTAAATACATAGTTTATTCGTGTGAAAAATGCAATTTACATATGTGCACAATTATTTTTCTCACAGGTTCTAAAAATTTACCTTCAATTCAACCTTTACAAAAATGTCCTGGATTCAAGTGCAATTCTGGAATTTCGAAATGTCTCGCTGATAAGCGTGTATGTGACAAAATAATCGATTGCCTGAACGGTGAAGATGAAATTAACTGTAATTCGATGAGGTCGTTTGAAAACATATTTTTATCTCGAAATTCGAAAGATCAAGACTCCGAAAAAACACAAAGCACAATTAATAAAAAACTTCCTGGAGGACTGAAGCCTGATTCCAGCTCCACTAGTGAGGAAGAAATAACAAATTTAAAGAAATTTCCAGCTAGAAGTAACAATCCATTGAATGAAAAATTAGCAAATGATTTTGAACATGCATCTACTATGGAAAGGTCTATTTCAAACAGCGATGAATTAGCTCGAGCCAGTACAGAAGAAGCTACCATAGATCCAACTACAACAAATGATAACGACTCTGAATTTCCCAAGCGAGATGAAACCAGTTCATTCACAATGTTTAACTCTAGAGTAGCCTTAGAGTCTAGATCAGTAGTATCAGAAAATACTGTCATACAAAACAAATTGAAAGAAGCAGAAAGAGCTAGTGACATTCAAGAAAATTGGGCTAACTTAGAATCTACATCAACGATTGCAACTACTGTAGCCAACATGGATCCATTGGACCCCACGACGTCAACTACTGTAGAAACAACATCTTCTACAATTATAACAACAGTCGCATTAGATTCTACACTTAAGCCAAATTTTACCGTTGGAACATCTTTTAACGCGCAAAATAGTTCTGATGACATGAACGAAAGAGAAACCAAATCACTCAAAGTAGAATTGCTTCCACTTGCTGAAAATATTGCTCAAAATAATGAGGATAACAATCTTAAAACTGAGGTGCCTCAAAACAGAGAACTGCTTTCTACGATGAAATCAGATACAGAGAAGCCTTCAGGTAAAACTTTTACCAGCTTCGATGAAAAGCTGGACGTCATCCATAAAATAGAAGATTTAGTTTTATCTGAATTACAACCTGCAAAAATAAGAAAGAAACATGTAGCACCAAAAGATTTTGAATGCCGACGGTAAGAATTTTGTAATAAGAATGAAATTTGATAGTACAATTTATTTACACTGCATTAAATAATGTTAAAATTTCACAGCATATATCAAATAATACCATATAAACATCGATGCGACCACAAAGCTGATTGTGAAGATGGAACAGATGAGTTAGCTTGCACCTGTGTGGATTATTTATTTTCATTCGATAAAAGACTTTTATGTGATGGAGTTTTTGATTGTGCTGATGGGCAAGATGAAATAGATTGTTGTATGTACTTTTTTAAATTTACAAATGTAATAAAATAATTATCTTGCAAAACTAACAATATAGATTTTATGTTTATAAACTGTTACAGTTAGCTGTCCAGAAGATCGTTTCCTTTGTAGAAAAAGTCAAATTTGCTTACCAACAAAACACGTTTGCGACGGAAAACCTCATTGTCCTCAAGGCGAAGATGAATTAGATTGTTGTAAGCAGGAAAATAATTAATTGGTCGTTTAATTAGTTACGAAATAAAATTCGATATCATTATTAAAATAAAATTTCAATGTTTTTTACAGTTGCTTTAACTAACGGGAAAGAAATAGCCTTTGATTTTAATGAAAGACCCAAAACGCTTTTGGAAGGGTATGTGACAAAGAAAGTCAAAAGCCAGTGGCATGTTGTTTGTGAAGACAATCTAACGACAGAACAACAGGAACAAGCTGCTGGTCATATTTGTCACTATTTAGGTTTTAGGTAATTATTGTTCCATAATTTAATAGCTAACTTATTTTTATGTAGACGAAACAGATATCATTATGAAACCAATTGCTTTCAGTAGATAGCACTAAATATTTTCTTTGCACTTATTTACAGCTCTGCGAACAGATATCGCCTGAAGCACTTAAATGTAAATGATGAAATACTAAGATCTTCCACTGACGATAGATCAAAAAGAGATATTCGAAGTAATGCCCGGGTACATTTCACATACCGGGACTCAAGTGCTAACGCAAACGCTAGAGACGTAGTCATTAAAGATCCACAGGTATTAAGGGAACAATGCATTCCTAATGTGAAAAAGACTTGTATGACACTATACGTGTATTGCAATAACGGTTTATTTACAAACATTGACATGTTATCTCAAAATCTTTTGTTTGAACGATCCGCGGTTGATAGTACTAGCCTTGAACAGATGTGGCCTTGGATCGCTAAAGTCTTTGTTGAAGGAAAATATAAATGCACAGGTGTTTTAGTCGACACAAGTTTGGTCTTAGTAAGTCACACCTGCCTTTGGGATTCATTGTAAGTATCAATATTTTAAACGTGAAAGTTCATAGATATTTTGCTCGAAGTCCATAATTAAATTCAATTTACTTTATCACTTTACAGCCTTAGTGAACATCATATAACTGTGGTTCTTGGTTCTCATAGAACTTTGAATTCTACTAGCGGACCTTTTGAACAAATATATCTTGTAGATGGCAAGAAAGAAATATACCGCAGTAATGTTATTTTACTTCACTTAAATGGATCGGCACAATATTCAGCTATGGTGAAACCCATGGTCATTCAAACTACGTAAGAGATAGAATTTTTATAAGAAACATAACAACATAAGTCGAAGATTTCTATTTTCACTGATATTTTAATTGAATTTCAGAACGATTCCAGAGGATAAACCATCAATGTGTGTAGCGGTGGGTCAAGACGAAAATAACAAAACTGTTAGTGTTGTTGTAGAAGAAACGATTGAAAATTGCCATTCACATAATAAATGTTTTAAAGTTAAAGAAAATTCAAAACCTTGCTCTGTAAGTTTTCACTAACGAACTATTACTTTATACGTTAACTACCAAATCTGTGTTCTAAATAACAAAACTTTTATTTTATTCATTGGTGATCCTCTGAAAATGGATTATTACTAATCAGTTCTCTAATACTTTTAGCCTAAAATGGTGTCAAAGCGTGAGTGGTCAGGGATCATCAGTTGTCACACAGAACAAGGATGGTATCCCTCCGCGACATTCGTCGACAGCAGAGGCGAATGTGGATCTATTAACCACATTACTGGAACTAATATCGAAAATTTGAAGCTGGAAATAAAACATGCCAGTCAGTAAAACTACTTTACATTATTAGAATTTGTTAATCCAGTATCAATCAACATAAACAAATATTAGTACAATCAGTTTAAGCGTGAATGAGTCGGCTTCCTTGGTATCTAAATAAAATTGTAATAAATTCGCTGTAAATATTTTGTACCTACAGATACAGATGGAGCTTGGTCTACCAAAAATTTGGTCTCCACTGATAAATGTGAAGGAGTGAGATGTGGACGAGGTAAATGTGTGGAACTCCGTAACGTATGTAACGGCATAAGAGAATGTGAAGATGGAAACGACGAATCAGAACAGTCCTGTGAGAAGCGAAATCATATCTGCAAGAAAAATCCGTATAGCAAAGGATGCGGTAAGTTATACAGTTATTAAAAATCAGAATTAAAAACATACGACTATTAGCTGTATACTGCATTTTCTATTAAGCAACTCTTTATTTTTCTTCCGGTCTAACCTTTGTATTCAGAAAAAGAGCATAGAGGCACCAAATCAATAACACCTCGGGTCTTCTAATGCTTAAATAAAATTCGATAAAAATTTTATTTCACCAACAACAATTGGCATCAGTTTTACTTAAAAAATCAAAATAGAATACTAACCTTTGGCAATATTTTAAGATTACTTTACAAATATAGTTAGTTATATTAGACCAAATATTCTTATTTAGCCTAATAATAATAAATAATATATATAATAATTAAATTTGTAAAAAAACTCCGAAACCGAAAATAAAAATCCGCTCAATTCCTTTGCCAACTGATGTTACTGTAACTCACAATATACCAGATTTAATATACATCGACAAAAATAGCAATAAAACGTATCTAATAGATGTGGCCGCGCCATTCGACTACAATATAGGAGCTGGGGAGATTGAGAAGTTAAGTAAGTACCACCTTCTAAAAACTGAAGTCAGTCGTCTGTGAAATACACAAACGACTGTCATCCCGATAGTAATAGGCGCAACAGGAATCACACTAATATTATAAAGGCGAAAGTTTGTGAGTGTGTGAGTATGTGAGTGTGTATATTTGTTACTTTTTCACGTCTAAACGGCTGGAGAGAGAAAATTTGGTATGGAGTTAGCTGACACCCTAGATTAACACATAGGCTACTTTTATCCCAAAAAAATGTTAGGTTCCAGAGGGATTTTCAAGAAACTAAGTTAACGCAGACGAAGTCGCGGGAGACCTCTAGTAGTCGCTAAAAGCATTAAAAAGTACATACCTAGATAAATGAGATAGCAGAATTGACATCAGTATCCTTTAAAAACAAGCAGCCATACACACATCAATCATACTCAGTAAAGTTATGGGAAATACTATTTTCTTACACAACACACGAGATCAACACATACAAATCACGCAACAAACACAATCACCAAACACACCACATCTATCAATCACGCCCAACACATCTCATACACCGGACACCCATCAAACACACAACGGATAAGAAGAAGAGGGCGAGGAAGGAGAAGAGTAACAACTCACACACAATATACTACAGATGCACACTAGTTAGGATATGTTACAATTTATTATATATATAATACAAAGACATTATATTGGTGACATAGATACCTCTTTTCCTGTGGGTTACAGGACGGGGTATTTATTAAAACCGACAAAATGTCGAGATGGTGAACACAACCAATCTTAAAATAAAATTTATACAACCAAATTTTCCTTGACAAAGCAGATATGAAAATATATCAGTTGAAAGTTTTAACCGATTAGCTACTGGAAAAAGCATCGCTATCTTTAAATTAAACTCTACCACCTTCGATTTGGTCAGTTGGTAAAACAGTAAGCAAACCAATTTTAATGAAAATAAAATTGTATTTCTTTCACAGAATGCTCGATCGATCAGTTCAGGTGTCACAACGGCGAATGTATTCCCAAGGAAAAGTTTAACGACGGTTACGACGACTGCGGAGACCAGACCGACGAGCCCGCTGAGTCTACCTGCTCCAAGTACTTGGCCAGGGTAATGCCCTCGGGGCTCTGCGACGGAGTACTGCACTGCAAGGACAGGAGTGACGAAGACCCCATGTTCTGCAAATGTTTCGCGAATCGAACTTATCCGTGAGTATAGAGCGCCACATCACGGTCCTTATACGTATTTTACTTTATTCTGATTAAATAGTATCAAGAAAAGAATATAAATCAATAAATGATGAGCTCCGTGGCGCGTGTGATTAGCACGTTCGGTCTGCAACTTTTCCAATGGTCGGTCATTGGATGGGTGATTAAAGACTTAATATCTTGAGCTCCTCCATGAATCGGAAGGCACGTTTAGCCATTAGTCTCAGCTGCATCTGCAGCCGTTGGTTTCCACCATTCCGTATTGGGCCCACGGGGTGGATCATGGATCAATTACCCTATTCCATCTTTAGAGAAGGCCTGTACCCTAGCAGTAGGGGACATTAAAAGCCTGATGATGATGATGACATTTAAAACTCTTTTTACATCCGGCCGGTATTTGCTGCCCAGATAATGACTTGTGGCTTCTGAAGTCAACACGTGACCTAAAGTTCGCTTTTTCCAATACCATAGGAACATACCATTTTCCGGAATAATGCGTAAAATTGGAAGCGGTAGCAGTATATTACGAGTCACAATCTTTCGCCAGTTTATAATCTCGCGAGATAGATTATAACCCAACGGTATTTACAATTTTACGGTAACATTAATGAGTATAATGGAAAGCATCAAAGTATGATAACTTTTGTTTTTTTTTACATTTGCAATGTTCTGAAGTTAAGATAAAATTAAAAAAAAAACAATAACTTAATTTTTTTAGCTGATTCAATAAATAAATCCATCAAAATACACACAAAACAAACCACGAAAGTTCACAAACTTGTAACAAAAACATAAATAAAAGACAAATTAAGACTGTAAAATTGTTTTGTTGATTTTTTTTTGAAATAGCAAAAAAAGTCTTTGGATGATTAAATGCTCTCCCAACACCATATGGGTAACAAGTTATATAACGTATACAGAAAGACATACCTAAATATTACTGTTCTGTCAACAAAACCAAATGTATTCTGTTTTCAGGTGTGGTAAAGTGAGTGAAATAGATCATTGTGTAGCACCAGACGTGGTTTGCGATGGTGTTGCTGATTGTCCTAATGGTGAAGATGAACAAACCTGCATGGGTCTTAGCGCTCCTCATGGCACTCCGTAAGTATAGCACGTTGAAAATAACACTAAATGCGAAAACATAAGATTGTACTTATTACGGATTAAAAGTCTTAAAACTTTGAACGTTCGCAAAAAAGACGAGTTTGATACAACCCTCCACCCACAACCGCGACATTGTCAGCTTTATTGAAAAAACTTGGACTTCGGAATCCACCCTTTATATACTTACAGGATAACAATCCTGTGCTTATCCCGGATTAAAGAGCTATATAGCTGTGTATTTATATTCGTTCCATTAATTTTAATTTGATTCGAGGAGCTCTATAGAGCAATTGATCAGTGGCCAGTGGCGTTCGGTCGGCAATGGGGAAGTTCATCAACTTTCGCAATGATCGGTCGTTAGTTAGGGGGCCATTGCAAAATATTTATATCTTTATCTCTTCCGTGCTTCGGAAGGCATATTAAGCAGTTGGTCACGGCTGCATCTGCTGTCGTTAGCACTAAAGAATCCGCACTAAGCACGCGTAATATATTGTACTTAAATACATTGTACTTAAAAAACAAAATTTTACACATGTTTATTACTGCCATAACTCTTGTGCATTAAGATTAGTAGGTAGGCACATTATGCTCCTTGTAATAAACGTCAGGCACGAGTATGTACGTCCTCTAGAGATGATTTTATTTTTTCATCGATAACCCCATCGCGTGAGGTATCGTTTAATAGGTCTTTTAAAATTACAAGGGATTCCTAAGACTAAATTTTTATTATTAATCCGTTTGCGAAATATTGAACTTTAAAGTGCAAATTTTTGCCCGTGTAGGGCGTGTCCCCCCCCCCCCCTAAAAACTAAACTATTGGCTTGAAAAAACCTGAACCTGCTTCTCGTGAACTTTTAAGGAAAATTATAACGGTCGAAACAGATTTGTTACTTTTAGTAATAGTCGTTCAACTTATGTATCAGAAAAATTTTAACCTAATAAAAAATCCTTAGGAGAAAACACTAAAAATGACTTAGGCAAAGTAATTGCTTAAAATATAGATTCTTTACAAAGTATATTGTGGTCACGAGGAGCAACTACCCTTACACTGCGCGTGGCACGACACGCACTTGGCCGGTTTTCTTTTACTTATATGACACTCTCACTCAAGTAAATTCACTTTTCAGGTATGGCAGAGGTCAAGTCATAGTGCGGTCCCACGGCGTCTGGCATTCAAAGTGCTTTTCAAGACCAAAACACACGAAATCCGAACTGGAAGCTATTTGCCGTGAACTGGGATTCATCAGCGGGCACGCTAAAGAATTGGACGCTGCCGACAACATGACTCCATATCCTCACAACAACGTCCTAGTTGACGAATTCAGTGACATCATACTGAACAATAAGACCAGAATACGACTTCGTAACACACACGAACCATTGGCCAGAGCAATTTTCGATAACAAGTTAGAGAATTGTTACCACGTTTTCATAGAATGCTTATAAAACTACATTACATACTCATACCTACCTACGAGGAATCTATTTTCATAAGTCCCTAAATAACGTATATTTTGATCAGCAATATGAATGACAACACAATCAACAATCAGCGTAGGTATGAAGAAGATTATCGGGTAAAACTACAGAGTTGAATTGTCATTCCAATTTTCAATGTGAGTTAATGAAAATGGACCAGTTTCTCAACAATAGATGAACAGTTGAAGTGTTGTTACCTACCCAGTTGTATAGAGCGTAGTTTGTTTTAAGTTTTGTACCTATTTTATTTATTAATTAAACTAATTCGTGTGTTTCCATAGTGAAATTTAATTTTCCTTTATTAAACTAACGTGTTGCTTATAATAGATACTGCATTGCTATGTCGTTAGTAAGATCGATAGATCCTTCGATAATATTAAGGTTTCTGAAGACAATTTTATGAATTCCCGCTTTGGTTTTCGATGCATATCCAATTTAAAAATATATTAAAATTAGGAGTGCAAATTTTAAGATTCAAGTGTGTTTAAAGTTATCTCAACGTTGTTGGTTGTTTGTGTAAAACATCTTTTATGTTTATACTTACAGGAAAATTAGCTGTCAATTTACACTAAAATGTGAATATTTGAGCCATATAAAATATACTCAATTATTAAGCATATTTTATATGGCTCATATGTTTACATTTAATTAATTACTCACCCAACCCAAATAAAATCAAAACATCTAGAATAACAGTAATCACTAAGTGAATACATTATATTTATATGTTATGGGCTAAGTGATTAGCTTTAGCCATTATTCTTAATGCCCGGGCAATATGAATAATGACCAATAAGAGCGGCCAATGTGATTATAACCAATCAATTTATCACATTGCCCGGGCATTATGAATAATGCCAAGTGCCTTTTGGGCAGAGTGATGTAAAGCATGTTTAATACTTTCCAATGAATACTTAGTTAGATAGACCGAGCATTACAAGTAACGAAATCAATTATCTGGTAGAGTAATAATAAAAACATGTTTTATAGTTTAGTATTTATTTTTAAAATTTAAATAATCAGAATTCGGTTTTACTTCGATCAATTTACGAAGGGCTACATTTAGAAACTATAGTCTATTATAGTAGTTTTAATGCAGATTGTTTGAAAAATTCATTAAATCTGTTAAATGTTCAGAATTTATGGTTCCCTATTTTTTAGGATGCAAGGACTAGAGAAGTAAGAACTAGCACTTCTGCCTTATCTCCGGCGCTGCGGGAATAGCAGCCCCTCTGCCTTTGCGTGACAAAGTCACAAGCATCACTCCCCTTCACACCTTCGGCTTCGGTTTAAGTGTTGAGCCCATACTATTTTTTATTTACCAAGATCTCAAAACAAATACAAAATGGCGAAACATCTGTCATTTTGACAATAGGACCAACTTTTTGAATTTATTCATACTGCCCGGTCCAAGCATAAATTCAATCTCAAACACTGATTTATTACATGGACCACGAGCCGTCCGGCATTATTAATAATGACCGGGCGATGTGATAAATAGGTGAGTTTAGATTGTAAATAATCACATGGCCCGATATAGCTGGGCATTATTCATACTACCCTGGTATTATGCATACTGCCCGCATTAATCACTTGGCCCATAACATATACACCGTGAATTTTGAGATACCTGAGAAATTTTAATAACTTATTAAGACAACGATTTATTTAAATCTAAAGAAAATTTTACTATAATAAATTCGACGCGGACGAGACAGCAGACAGGACTCGAACCCGCACCCTCCACTATCCGGGCGGATGCACTGACCATAATGCTACCGTGGCCCTGTCAAATTCTTTAGATTTGAACATCTAGCAGTAAACAGGCGTCATACGGACGTCGAGTTGCGGAAACGCCCGTATAAAGAAGAAGAAGCCCATACCTAAATATTTAGGCACTTAAACATCCAACCATTTTTTTTTTCTTTACTTACTCATATAAATAATAAAATATTGAAGGGGTCATCTATTAAGTACGTCACACGTTAAAAAGGGGTGGGAGAGAGAAATTTCTAGATGCTAAACTCAAATCAAATATGATTTGAGATGCAATATAGCAAAACATATGAATGTGACATCATACTAGGAGGACGGCTTAAAAGGAAGGAAGGAAGGAGGGGTAAAAAAGTCAAGAAATTAGTGTGACGTACTTTAAGGATGACCCATGTTCGAAAAAGACGAAACTCAAACATTTGAGATAGAATTTATGTGACTTTTCAGTCTCAGTAGGTTGTTCGGCTCTGATTTATTTACTGGAGTACTGCTTTCATGATTGACGATTAGGGATTATTAAGTTATATTTTCAGGAGTTCTTGGTTATCACAAGCAAGCAACCTTCTTTGGAGCGCTGTTAGTCCTGGTAGCTACATCCGATTTAATATTTTTAATTAGTTTTTTTAAATTCCAATAAACCTAAAGAAAGCCTATACAAGTAGAACATAGGTATAATAAAACCCCCATTCTAAGACTCTAAGGAAAATATAGTAGTCTTAACTTAGTACTTACTTAGTCATATCATAAGCACGAGTGGCAAGATGCTGTTCAAATGCAACTACGGAACTCTGCGATGGTCAGCGCCATCAGTGGCGATTGCGGTGGTCAAACCTCAGAATTAGGGGTATTCGATATACATCGATGCATCGAAAACATCGATGTTTGCATTGAAAAACATCGAATCGATCCGATGTTTTGAAAAACTTTCAATATACTCGATACATCTATGTTTTAAAAAAACATCGAATTGGTAATAAAGTTTGATCAATAATATTCTCTTTGGTTTGACCTCAGTAAAAAAAAACTTAAGTTTGACCACTAAAATTTTACTGATTACTATTACGAAAGCATCATTATTCCGAATTCTCTGATATGGACCCGATGTTGGCAGCACTGCGCAAGAGTCAGTGCAGTGACAGTAAAAAATATCTACGAGTTTCTATGTTTATAAACATTTAATAACCTTTGGTTTTGTGAAACAAACTAAGATTGAAGTATATTTCTAATATTCTTTTGACAGACTTAGCAAAAATTTAGCGGGTTATTTAGTGTTTTTCAATTTGATCTTTTGTAAAATATAATATAGATTTTTCTGATACATGGCTTTTACTCGTATTTACTTTTACCTACTCATTATGAAAGGAGTTAATTCTATTATTTTATAAAAGATTAATATCTAAACTATAATAAAATTATAGATTATGGTCTTTTCCTAAACTTCAATAGTAACATTTTTTACTGTGAAAAGACTGGCCTCTTTTGATATGTGTCACTTTCCGCATAAGTTGAGTTTTGTGATAAAATTTCAGAAAAAGTACTCGATATTTAAAGTACATCGATGTTTTCATCCGATACATCGAAAGACATCGATGTATAGTTGCTATGTATCGAATCAAAAATTACATCGATGTTTTTTCAGAGTGGACACCCCTACTCAGAATACAGAACGTATTCTGAGGGTCAAACATATACTTGGCCGATTACAATTTTGGTGCAATTCAAAAATTACACGAGCGCCATCTCCACAATATATGTGAACTATTTCAACATAAAGAAGCAATGCAATTGAACACTGCCCATAAGCAGTTTATTAAAATTGCCATAGATGGCGCTGGCGGATAGCAGTGGCGAACAGTAAAGACTTAGTGTATAAGTAATCACATGCATGTGTCCTTAAGTTTGTTATCAAATACATGTAGTATTACAGCTCTACATTCTATAATTATTGTTATTAGTAAAAAGTTTTAGTTATTAAAGATGGCATGAATGAATAGGCTGATAGAACTTTGGTGCAAGGAGCCTTAGTATCCGTTGCCTTCAGATGATTCAACGATAATGAAAAAAAGTCTATGAGCTAGTCTATGGTCCAGTATTTCCAGCGTAAGAGTTTCCCCCGAATATAGAAGAAAAAAATATTCTTAAAAGCTGTTTTGGTTATAAGTTAATTTTTAGTAGTTTTATGTACAATTAAAGATAGTAGAAATATTAAAAAAATAACTATTCAGCGATCTTAATTATTTGACCAGCAAATAAGTAGTAATACTAAGATCAGTTATGATGTATATTAAGTATCTATTTATTGGTTCAATAATCATGTGTACAAATTAATGGACCGCTAATAAGGAAAATTTTTGCGATGCCACGAGAAATACAAATTAATATTAACATGATGGAATAACTTATACCAGTTCTTTTCAAAATATGTTGTCTTCAAATAAGCGTTCTTAATTATAAGACTATTACTTTAAGTAGGTCAGAACAAACTCAGCTGAATCTAGGTGGAGGTGGAGTCTAGTCATGAAGATAGCCGATGAGAACTGCTAAAATAAAACTTAATTTGACAACAGTGTATCCTTGTCATTCTCAGTCTCAGTACAGAATGAAAAAGAGAAACTGATGTTAAATTTATTTTTAAGTTTAGAGAACTATGCCAGAATCGACAAAATTCAGCACCTAGTCTCTTACTTTTATTTTGTATAGAATATGGCAAGGATGAACTGTTTCTTTAGATTTAGGTTTTAAGTATACCATACATACCATATAAGGACGCAGTGTTTATAAAGTGAGTTTTTGAAAAAAAATACGAAATAGTAATTTTGTTATTATAGTCAATTCACCGTAATTCGGAAAACACGGGCTAGCAATACTGGTCTCCTCTATATTAGTCTCTGTGAATCGTTTCATCCAACATGTCAGACGCGATGGACGTTGAGAATTTATTTGTGATTGTAGTACATTTAAGCTAAAAACAGTATTCTACTTTTTAAAATATGTTACTAAAGTTTAAGTTAGAGTTTCGTTGATTAATTGTTTCTATTTTAAAAGATGTTTACAATTTGAGTTGACCCTTGAATGAATGAAAATTATTAGGATGTGATTAGGTCCAACAATTAAATTGGTAGATGTAGGTGCAGATTCAGTTATAAGTGGTAAAAGTGGCAAATATTATTGCATTTAGAAGTGAGCTATGGTCTGATTATATTTTAATGTAAATAAAAAATATTGTTTGTACGCGCATGCGTTTTTATCGAAAACAGACAAAGGTTTTGTGTGGTTTGAAATCAGCTGTATTGTGTGCAATGACTTAGTGATACGAAAAGTGTGTGTGTTTTGAAGCGACAATGTTTAGTGAAATTGGATACACAGTTTTCTTACTTCTTGCTTTGCCTTATATCGAAAGTGGTAAGTACAGTGTTACATCTTTCTTCTTTGGACAACAAAAAGATGTCAAACTTGGTCATTACATTAAACGTAATTCTGTAACCACTACTTAATTGATATGGTGAAAACCCGTTTGGGTATGATATAAATAGGTAGATAAAAGCCCTTAATGTACATAAAATACATTTGTGCCTGATTTCATGTTAATTGCACTTACCTTGTTATTATGACTAATACCACAAAAACAAGTAGGTAGATGTGGTTCTGTTTATTTGTTTTTGGTACTAAATTCCATTAGTTGTGGTGGAATTTCGGGGTAGTTTTGATGTGGGGGGGAGGAGGGGGTCTCCCCGACTCCCCCCCTACTAAAGATTTTAGTCGGAATTGCATGTTTTTTTTTAATTAACCTAACCTAAAAATTCATAATTTTTTAGGATGCAAGGACTAGGGAAGTAAGAACCAGTAGTTCTGCCTTATCTCCGGCGCTGCGGGAATAGCAGCCCCGCCGCCTTTGCGTGACAAAGTCACAAGCATCACTCTCCTTCACACCTTCGGCTTGTTGGTCGCCACCTCCGGCGGCGACCAGCCTCAGGCGCTACGGGTCGCACGATGCTTGCGGCTTTGTCACAGCAGGCGGGGGCTGCTCTCCCTACGCGCCTCCGGGCTCTAAAAAACACTCTAGGGGTAGGGCAGACCAAGACCACGGCGTGTCGGGGTTGACCAAGTCGGTTCTGAATTAAAGATTGTTGTAAAGCCACATTTACCTTTTTTTCTAAGTGTGGAGCCCATACTATTTCTTATTTACCAAGTAAATAATAGTAAATATACTTTTTACCGACGTACACAGACTGACTGACATTTCTCAAAACAAAGACAAAACGGCGGGACATATGTCATTTTGACAATAGTACCAACATAATCAACATATTTTTTACCATAGACAACGAGAAACATGTTATTTCTGCATGAAAAAATGGCAGCACTGATCAAAATGGCTGTCAAAATTGACTTTAACCTACAAAAATATTAATTTTCAATATTTTTTTTCTCGAGTTCTATTCGTTTTCGAATAAAAAGATTTCGTGTGTGTGTTCCTAATAATTAATACTTTCCGTGACAAAAATCTTAGCTCGCTACTCAACCACAACTAATGGAAAGCTGAGCCTTGTTTTTTTTTTATTCTGCCAGTAGTGAAATCGCATTCGATTATTGTTTAAAATTTTAAAATTTTAAACAATAATCATATACCTAAACATTTTAGGCATTAAAATTTTTGTTCATTACCAGCCTGGGTTCTGTTTATTTCAAATATTAATATAATCTTTATTTATTCTGAATGCATCTTATCAAAGGGGCCTCATTGCCTTACAGGATTGTATTGGCTATTGCTTACATATTTCATTTTGTTATTTCCTTTGCATTGGTAATAACAATATTAAAGGAAATGAGTGTGAAGTATTTGAAAACCTTCAGCGGGCAGAAATAACAAAATGAAATCATAAGCTATTGCGATAACAGTAGCAATCTCGTTAGGTGATTAGCCCCCTGGTGATATAATGAATTAAACCACTTTTGTAATATCTATGTGAACTAAGTACGAAGTTACTAAGAGGCAAATGAAATTTTAGGTTGCAGTTTTGAGAAACTCATTATTTACCAGAAAATATTATATCTTAAACATTGATGTTCACACAATAAATGAAGTAAACATAGTTGACCTTTCTTTAGCTGCTACTGGATCTTCCAAAGTCAATAATTCATTTAGAAGTCTTAGTGCTAATTGTGAAATAGTTCCCAACAAATTATAAATCCACCATTATAGATAAATAATTAATTCTGGTGGGATTACAGCCAGAAATGCATCAAAATCATACCAACAGGGTTTTCATGACACAATATAAAACTGTAAATATTCTAATAACATTATTTTCTGTAAACTTTATATTTTTGTAAAGTATTTTTAACCAATTTGCGTGAAAATATGTTCAGTGGCGATATTCATCTGTCTCAATGGCATCTTCATAAATGCCATGAAATGATTTATTTGTTGACTTGCAGTAATGTGACATGACTTGCCCTGTCTAATTTCTTTTGCATTTTCGTTATGTTCTCTGTTTTTAAAATTTGTACATGCCTTCTATCTCCCATCTAATTGTATGACCAAAACAATGGTGGATTTAGAGGTGTGGTGGCTCTGGGGCAACGAAGGAGGGAAGACCCCTAAAAGGGGTCATATATTAAAAAAAGTGGCCAAGTACGAGCCGAACTCGCCCTATGAAGGGTTCTGTTACTGAGGCTATTACAGATTTATTATTAGAAAATAATGGTTCATAGTTTATGCATAAGGTTTATGTTTATGATTTTTTTTTTTTATATTTGAGTTGATTGAATGAAAGGTAAATTGCGGTTTACAATTTAGGACGTATTAAAAAAAAACACTTACTAGATCTCCTTCAAACCAATTTTCAGTGGAAGTTGGCATGGTAATGTACATCATATATGTTTTTTAGTTTTATCATTCTTTTATTTTAGAAGCTACAGAGGGGGGGCGGGGGGTGACACATTTTACCACTTTGGAAGTGTCTCTCGTGCAAACTATTCACTTTAGAAAAAAATTATATTAGAAACCTCAATATCATTTCTGAAAACCTATCCAAAGATACCCCCTACACATATTATGGGTTTGATGAAAAAATTTTTCGAGTTTCAGTTCTAAGTATGGAGATCTAATAATATTATTGACTCTTATACCTAGATCTAAATCAAAATATGCTTAACACAACAAATTAATTTCTTCTCTCCAAAAGTATGAGAAACAATTCCTTGAAATATATGATGTCCAAGATAAGCTTAAAAATAATACATGTAACACCCATTACATAAATATACAAGTAACGCATAACAAACAAAAATAAACATAAAACAAGAAATAGTGAATATTAAATTTTAACATTTATCAATGAAAACAATCATTAAATGTATAAAATAAAGTCACTTGCAGTGTCTGTATGCTTCTAGATGCTGTAAACTATGCAATATTTCAAGATTATGTTATGTTTTATGTGCATGTATAATACATGCCTGAGAATGAAAACCATAGTCTTCACTGAAGCTAATGGATGGGTCAATGATATTTTATAATTGATTTAAACATTTTTTTTGTTAAAAGGGTAGCAAACAAGCCTATGACCAGCCCAGTGAGTTGCTATATCCTATGGACGTTTATGATGCCACTTGTACCATTGCCTAACCTAACCCAAACATTTACCCCATTGAGCCCATTGTTATTTATGCATGCTTTGTAAAACATCTGTCCAATTACTGTTGGTCTTATAAAATAGGGTTAATATCCTCTTTGAAGCAAACCAGAAAGATTTCTTTTCCTGAGAAAAGTTGAGAGGCTGTAAATAAAAATTTATAAAACTTTTCAGCTGGTGCTATCTTGAAACCAGAAAGAACATTGTTTTCTGCATTTATTACAGATATAGTTTCTTCTTTTTCTATATTGTTTTTGATAACAAAACCTAAAGTACCTAAATAATTTTTAACATACCGTTTTTACCTTAATTCTAATTAAAGCTTATTCCTGTTTAACACATCATTCCATCTTTGTCAATTTTTAAGTCCAATAGAGATAGAATGAGACTAAAGATTAGCTATAATTTTTTTTTAAGAACTTTGAAGTAAGTGGGTCTAATAATTCATTAAATTTCATGTCAGGTTATGAAATAGCAGAGATTGCATACCAAAAGAAAAAAAATCCTCTATTCTAATTATCATACCTAAAATGTAACCTTTCTGTTTTCAGTACTAACGAAAATCAAGATTGCTTTCATTTTATAGGCAAAGCCTACATTAATGTAGAATACCTATTAGTTCTATAAGAAGTTTGTCCCACTTACGGCGTAGTTGCCTTCGCCTTGTCATGCCCGATATTCGACTTCGCGATGTTAAAAACCAGTTCCAAAAAACTGAGTCACGATAAATCGCCTTGTGCACCCACACACTTACTTTTATTAACACTCGAAAGCTGACTAGTACCTACATGTTAGCATTACCCATTACCCAGATAAAGAAATTCAGGAGTGATCATCATCAATATTTATTATTATACTTTTATCAAAGATTGTGTAGAAACCAATAAAATCGTTTTAGACCCTGTCTGTCTAAATTGCTTATTACAGAAACTCATATCTACCTAGATGTTGAGTACCCAGAGATTGAAAAGATTCTATTTATTTATATGCATACAATAATACTACATTACCGATATAAAATTTCATCGTAATTTTCACAACCGGAGCGTTTGTCTGTCCCCAAGGTCTCTTTTATATCTCTATAACCAAAATTCATCGAAATTGGTTCAGCTGGTTTGATTCGAAAGAGAAACAGACATTTTAGTATGGCGCAATCTTCGCCATTTTGAGCTGGTTTTGAATTACCATACAAATAATATGGATTGCAATGTTTGTACTTGAAACTAGCTAGTACCAACCGGCGATTTGGAATGCTCAAAGTATTTATTTACAAATAGGTACCCAATCTCCTACCTCTTTATTTTTAGGCATGTGTGTAGATGTTCATTTCAGCATGCGTAAACTCCTGCTCCCATATTGACAGAAGAAGAATAAGGTTGGACAAGGTACGCATAGATTTAATTAAAAATGTCGTAAAAGTGATAAAACAATGAGTTATATTAATATGCATACGACTCGACGATAAAGAGTTATCGCTTCATTATAATTCCCACATCACACCATGTCAAAAGCATCATTGAGTTAAAAGCCCGGAGGAAATGCCCACTTTGGGTATCCATCTGCATCCTTTGGGTTTGCAAACATGAGGGGCGTCGTCAGCGTAAAATTACAAATAGTACACCATATGTTTATTTGTAGTATTTATAGGTAAGCAAATATTTAGATCAACACTACCTACTACCACTTCCTGGATATTATCGTATAATTTATCAAAAGAAATAATTTGTGGAATAACGACATTACGTTCAAATTTTAAAGAAAATA